ATTAGTTCCAAATCATTTTCAGATTGTATCTTAAGCAGAACTTTTTGAGATCTGAAAAATAAGTATAAAGATAAGGACTAGACTCTTATCTAAATTTTAAGAAAATTTTAAGTACTCTTTTCTTTTCTTTTAAGACTCTTGGTCATATTGGGAATAACCCCCAAAAGGAAGAACTTCAGGGAGAATTGAGAGCAGATTATAACTTAATAAATATCCTGCTAACAATTAGAGTCCTCCAGGAATGGCAATCAATTGGGGGATGACTTTCAGTCCTTCCTGGAACAACTGGTGCTGTACTTGTATAGATGTTGTGGAGATAGCCTACATGAAGATGCCTTACATGGATAGTTGGGCTAGTTATCATTCTCAGTGATGAGATTCTGTTGACCTAAGATTAATTTGAAACCCATTGTTTGATAAACACAAGAAGATAATGCCAAGTTGCCACAATAGCTCCTCTGCTCAAATCAGGCAACATTTCTTGTGCTAGGCACTCCTCTCATTACTTCTCACATATCAACTCATTCTCAAACATACACCTTTATAGAGCACAGTCACACTTTCATCATTTTCATTTTACAATTGAGGAAATTCAGCCATAGAGGACTATGTATCTTGTCAACGACAACATAACTGAATTAGCAGAAGCAGGCTATAAACCAAAATGGTCTGGCTGTAGCATCCGGCCCTTACAACCAGTAACAGTAGAAGTCAGCTCTAGCTGCTGAGTACTGCTCCAGTGTATCAATATCCCATGTTCCAAATGTGTCAAGGAGATACTGAAAACACACAGACAAAAGAATGGATTCCTGGAGAATATTGTCAGAGAGAGGAAGCCAAGAGCAAGGTTTGTTTGTCAACTGAATGTAGTAAATCCTGTATAAATACACAATAGAATTGGAGTCTATATTTGGCTTGAGTATCATAGCAGTTAATGAATTGAGAGAGAATTGTTTATATAGTGTAATCTGAAATTAACACACAAAAAACTCACCAGGTGCATTACTACTTTTGGTATAAAGACTACAGAATGTACCCTGTGTGGCATCATTAAAAGGACCTGGTGAAAATGGGGAATTATGCCCCTCACTTTAGTTTTAGAATAAATGCAATAACATTTTATAGGTGTGTGTGCATGTATGCGTGTGCAATTCCTCAGCATAGGCAACATACTAGCCAATTACAATAATTTGGGGAAGAGATCTAGGAAAAAAAGTCACAGGGATATATCAAGCATCTAGAAGAACAAATGGGCTGCTTCTCAATTAGGCATATAATTTCATTTCAGCATTCATGTACAGCATGGCTCAAATTCTGGGTTCAGCTGCTAGACACACTCTTAAACATTAATGATGTCTCTTAATTTATTGTATCATCTTGAATAAAATATCTAACTTTTCTGAGCAGGAAAATGGTGGCCTACATTAGAAAAAATATTAATATGATTATTTTTAGGGTCCTTCAAATAGCAGATTCATTTTTTATGTTTTTAAAATCACCCTATTTATACACATACATATACTTCCATATACTTGATTATTTCCGGCAAAGAGAATGAATTGAAGATTGAGCTAAGGGAGTAAGCACCTGCCATGTTTTATTTCATACCTTGAGTTATTTATAGCATTTAAATAGTACACAAGGACAGAATAAAAGACATTGTTCACACTAAAATTGATATTTAAAAGGTAAGCTGAGTTGATTGGATCATAAAAAAGTAGTCTTGTGTTTGAAAATAAATTTAAGTGGAGTTAATAATAGATTAGCTAATGGCTTTGTAAAAATGGAAAATGTATGTAAATGTATTTGCATAATTCTTGGAATGCAAAAATTAATTGATAAAAGTATTTTTTTTCTGGCTGATCTGAGTCTCCTCTCACCTAAAGGTCTTCCCCTGGCCCACCCTTCCCTCTGTTTTATTTTTCCACTCTCTTGCATTGTAATCCAAATTTCCTTTAGGAGTGCCCATCTTCTATGTGGACGTTAGGCAAGTTTCCATTCTTTTCTGTTTCCTACAGAATATCTGGAATGGCTGGGCTCTATGGATTCCTCCCACTTGCAATCTACCTATCGTATTTGTGCTACTCTCACCTAGTGATCTAGTAAGGGATAAATATATCATACAGTTAATATATTTTGCTAGACCATCAAACAAATCATTCAAAATTGAAAATGTCTGGAATAAATACAGGTAGAGAAGACAATGTTGTGAGGGAAAAGGGGTTCTTTTATGTCTCTCAGAAAACTACAAGCCTTTTGTCCTACTTGCTATCCCAATGACACTGTGGAGTGACAAAAGAAGGGGGATTAGTTTTCTCTAAGTTTATCCTTCTACTTACTTTACACCAACTTCCCTGATCTTAAAACACTCTCTTTGGCTCCTCAGTCTTTCTTTTCTGCTAATTTCTATCTAATTTTGAAGTGTTTTCTTGTTTTCATCAAAAGTACTGATATTTTTAAAAGAACACATATAATAAACACTTTGGTCAAAATGATGTAGCCAAGAAAGATGTTCCGAAGTGCCAGTATCAAACCTGTTCATTTGTTACTGCCTCCTGCTGGCAACAATGAGGAAGGAACCCAGTAGCTGTAGGGGCTCTAAATGCACCCTCTACAGTTCACACCATATTTTCCCACTATAGCATGTTGATTTTTCTTCCCATGAATTCTATTATTTTGGGTCCAGGGCAGAAAAAAAGGAGTCAAGATGAGGCCAATCATAATACACAGAGCAGGTAAGCAAGCATACCGATTCTCAAAAACCTCATTTTGTCCCTAACACCACCACCAACCAGAAAATCCAATTCCTGCAAGGAAACAGCCATAGCGAGCCATGCCAAAGCAGAAAGGGTGACATAGACTTAACAAATCGATTTATTACCAATGAACTGATTCATCACAAGTGAGTGATTGCAGGTCCAAGCAAAACACCTCGCCTAACAAGGCCTCTTACTCGGAAGCCAGCGCCAGAAACCTTGGCTTAGAGGCCGTGATAATGGCAAACAGCTGGCTGGCAGACCAGGCTGCATCCAGAAGACGGTCCTTGGCCGAGGTGCATTTCTGACACTTGCACTAAGTCACAGTACATTCTAGCTGTCATTCCTCACCATCAGCTTTATTAATAGCATCTTCCCCCACCTCCTGCATTGAATTGGGAGAGTCAGTAAGTCTACAACCCAAGAAGTGAGAAAAGTCAGTGAGTGAGTCCCATGCTTCACATCCAAAGAGCTTTGTTTGAAATGCACATAGAGTACCAGTGAGAATTTTGTAGTTGTTGTTGTTAGTTTGCTTATATTTGAATGATCCTTAAAACTGCCTCCCATGGTCACCATGATTTATAGGTGTGGATGCAGCAGCAGTAGGAAGACTTCATGATTCTTTCATAAACTTAAAGTACCCTTGAAACCTGAAGGGAAAGAAATGCGGTGAGCAAAAATAGATAGAAGGCACAAGGCCCCTAGTTTATTAAACAAAGCTGATCATGACAAAAAGCATCTCTCTTCTGTTTCAAGAAAAACTGATGCGTTTGCATTTGCAAATGTTAACTTGTATTCCCCGCCCCCCCAATCCCAACCGCCAGCATTACAATGATTATTTGAAGCTTCTTATATGATTAAGCCATTTTTCAGAATTTTAAAATGTTAAATAAAAACATGGGAGCCTCATGCTCTTTACTTACATTTTATTTTCTTCACAGGACAGGTCTGAAAGCACCGACTGAAACACATGTTTAAGGTGATAAAATCCAAACAACTCGTCAGTCTGATACTTTAATCAGTGCCCAGGGACAGTGTGCGTTTCTGATCATTTCATCCTTTTGTTTGTTTGTTTGTTTGTTTTTAGCTCTGTAGCACAATCTATTGTCAGTGTGCAGAATTTTAATTGAGAAACCTCTGGGTCGATTTCCACGCTCAGCATTGACAAGAGATATATAAGGTGAACCAGGTTCCTGCCTTACATTCCACTCTAGATGGATTTGAAAGCCATTTTGTTTTTTCTCTAGGAAGATTTTGCCTGCTTTAAAAGCCTCCAGCAGACATTCCTTTCTCTCCCCCCTGTTTTCCTCATCTAGAGGAAAGAGTTGCATTATTTTGGAGTAATGTGTTCATGCAGGGAAGCCAGGCTCTCTGCTTGGGAAAAGAAGTCAGTTCCATTAGCACTAATGGGTCTTAACTATAAACAAGTAGGGGTCACTTGAGTGGGATCTAAGGCATTGGTCAATTTTAGATCACATGGTAGTTCTGTTGAAATTCAAATGATTTTTTTTTAACTTCAAAGCTGAGGAAGGAAATCGTCATTTTAATTGCTTTGTGATCAAAGACACAAACCATAGCAATCTAATACTAGTATCCCAGTTCTCTATTCTAGGCCTTATATATTATAACTCACCCCAAAAATTACAGGGATAATAAAGTACTCCTTCCAAGAGGAACCCAGTGATTAAACATTGGGCTGTGATCTGAGTGGTGGGCAGTTCAAACCCATCAACAACTCTGCAGGAAAAAGACTAGGCTTTCAACTCCTGTGAACAATTACAGTCTCAGAACCCTACAGGGTCACTGTGAGTCAGCATTGACTCAATGGCAGTGAGTTTTAGTCAAGAGGCTTTGGGTGTGAGTGGGGATTTGTGTTTCACCACTTGCACTCAGACTTCTTTGTAAATGAGAAAAATCTTGAAAGTGCATTTATATGGGTTGATGAGATCAGTGATGCATACCACAAAAAATATATATACAAGTGGGAAGTTCCAGAATGTAAGCTGAAAGATATGGGAAACCTTAGGTTAGGTCTCTCCCTCTCTTTTCATGTTGATAACAATAATTTTTAAGATGCATCCTTTTCCGCAACCTGTTTTTGTTGTACAAAGTTTATCTGAAAAGAGGTTTACAGAGTTGCAGATGCAGCCATGAACTAGTCATCAGAAAGCATCGTAATGAACAATTTATAAGCATAGAAAATGAACTGCATTCTTTTTTGCTAGATTGTTGCAAATAGATTTGCATACTAACTGAGAAGAAAATGGACATTTGAATTCTGTCCATAAAGAAAGTTTATTTACCAGTAGTTGTAATCATTTGGGATCCTGCTTAACAGATAGACAGATAAAGAAACCAGCATTTCCCTTTATAGTCTTTTCTGGATTCTCTACCCTAGAACGTAGGGTACCCTATTACCACTTCACTGACAATGCATTAGCTGTCAGATGAGGGTATTGTGGAGTGGCGAGAGAAATCTTACTGTATTTCAGACCTATATCTGTCAGATACACTGCATTTCAGTCACTTGGATAAAGTTCCTGGGTGGCATAAATGGTTAAGCTCTTGACAACTAGCCAAAATGTTGGCATTTTAAACCCACTCAGAGGCACTGTGGAAGAGGGACTAGCAATCTATTCCAAAACAGCACAGATTTGAAATCCTGTAGAGCAGTTTTTTTCTGCACACTGGGGTCAATGTGTTGGAATCAGCCATCAGCAACCCAGAACAGCAACACTACTGATATGGAGATGCACTATCAGCCAGAATGGGATGTGGGAGTGGAAGAACTGAAATAAAATCTAACATCATCATTCTGTCCACGGTAGGTAGCCCTGAAAACATATCAAGCAACACAATGGTTATAGGCATCAGTAAACACACCTTAAATTAATTCTGCATAGCATTTTGCTGTGTCAATAAGCACTTCTGATGCTTTTGATATTTAAAAAGGTGGGAAAACATTCACCGCGTAGCCAAGTTAAGCAAAGGTTAAATTTGCATCACATTACTTCAACAGCAATGGGATAAAGCAGAAAGAAACAAGACTAATGCCATGGACCATTTGATTTTCTGTATCTCTGACCAACAAATATAAAAAGTCATAAGATGCTAGTAATACTTTCTCATAGGAAATATTCTCAGTGTAGGAGTACTTAAATCATCTAAAGAATAAATCTATAATGAATCAAATCCTTGGCGTACCACCAAACATTGTTTCCCAGAAAGAGAGAGGGTTACCTGGAATAGTGGCAAGCACAAGGTTCCCACTTTTGACATCACTGACGTGACACAGAAGTGACTGTGCCCCAAATACTTAGAGGAATCCTTCCAGCGCTTTGTCGTCTGGTTTATCCCCCTCTTTCTCAAAGCGTGTTAGCTTCTCTGAAAGTTACGCTTCCTCCCTTGAGCATGCATTAATGATGGATCCTTGTGACCAGCAAAGTGCATGCTGGGGAAGGAATGTTCGGTTCATGCTCTCAGGTACGGAGAGTTCAAGGAATTTAAGTTTAAGGTCTGGACCTTGGTACTATTTTTCAAGCTCTTAAAAGCAGGGATTCTAAATGCTGACCTGAGAGCTAGCTGGCTGCTTAACTGACTCACTGCATTCAAGTGCATGCTTTATTCCAGGATATTTCCGGTTTTGGAGTGTGGGCATTTGTGCTTTATGAAAACCTGGCCTTTAAAGCATTTATTCAGATGTTCTCACTTTTTTGGTCTTTTTTTTTTTTGAAAGCATCATTTTAAGACTTCGAGTCAAGCTCAATCTCATACATAAAACTTTATTTTATAAGGATCCCATAGAGTATTTAAATAGGGTGTATTTCAATGTTTATTTTATTGAAAGACCTTCTACACCAAGAAAATGCCCAAGGGCATCTAGGGAAATTCCAAAAAGAGCAATGAAGAAGCAATAAACCACTGCATATTGAGTCTTACCATAGAGCTGTAGTAATTTGTAAAATATGTATGCTGTGTATAAACAGAAAGATGTGTGTAGAAGAACAGAGAGTTCTAAAAACAGCCCCCAAATAAATGTGGATATTTATTTGAGTTGCCATTTGTTAAAATCACTAAGAAAAAGATAGAAATTGTTAGAAAATGATGAACTGAGTGGTCTTTTAAAATAATATTTAAAAAATTATCCTAAGAGTTCACCCCTTAAAATTTAGATAAAGAATACTAATCTGATTAGTGATTTTTAAAATGAATGATAAAGTGGAGTGCATAAGATGTGGGGATATGATTGGGAAAACTATACAGCTTTTTGGGAGATAATTAGGTAACATCTATCCACCTAAATATGATTATGTCCTTTGACCATGCAGTTCTCCTTCTGAGGATATATTCTGTAGAGACTTCAACACAAATTATTATATGCAATGAGGTTCACTGAAGCGTTGTTAATTATAGCAAAATATTAGAAACAGCAAATGTCCTTCAAGCAGTGAATGGTGACGTGCATGATAGTCCTTTCAATGACTTAAGAAACAACTTTTATAAAATGGGTTGGGGATTCAGATCACAGACATTGAAAGAGTAATCATTTATAACTTACTCATTTTTCTGCAAAAAAATAGAGAACACTGGCTATAGTGCTTTCTACATATGTAATATATGTGTATGTATGTATGTATGCATTTAGGTGAATTGAGCCTATCTCCATGAAACTTAATAATCATGGTTATTTCTGTAAAAGGAATATGGGAAACAAGAAATAGAATTTGGAGGAAAACTTTTTCACAAAATAATTTCTTACTTTTGACTTTTTTAATTTAACAATGTAACCAATTTAACCATTTAATACATATGAAGATTTTTATGTGCCAATTAGAAGTTGGTGATCTATAACTCAGAACAAGCATGTTATAATTCATATCCCAATATAGTTTACTAAATCTAATCTGAATTATGATAGAAAAACTTCTTTATGAGTGTATACCTGATTGCACTAGAAACAAACCAATGTGTGAGTTACCTAAACCACACCTCTGAACTGGCCATTAGGATGTGTGGATTATTTGAGTAGCCTTTGAATAAGCTAAGCAGGCCGTGTAGTGGCCATGGTCTGTTTAGTATGCAATCCCAGATACAGCCATGAATTTCAAAGCAGAGGAAGGCTTGGTGCCAATGTCAATAAGGGGTAAGTCAACGAAGCTTGCAGTACTGTTTGTGCCTATGCTAGCCTCCATTTTGAGAGCCTGTTAAGCCTGTAATTAAGCATAAATGAAATGAAACATAGACTTTTCAGTGGTGAAGTTATTTATTAAATGGTTAGTAGCTTGACTTCTGTCAGCAGTCGGTGGTTTTAAAAATTCCCGAGAAAGGCAGGGAAAGCAGGTGATGAGGACAGATGAAATGGAAGCAAGGGCAGGGTGTCTGATTCAGCTTTAGAAACTGCAATGGCATTCCACCAGATCCAAAATATTGACTGCCATGGCATCTATAGAACCTTCAGGACAGGGTAGAACAACCACCTCACATTTCCTGGGCTTGTAAACCTTTGTGGAAACAGAAAGCGTATCCTTCTCTCATGAAGCAGCTGATAGGGTAGAAGTTAGCATCCCAACATATAATCCACTGTACCAAAAATTATATGGATTAAATAAATTCTGTAGAAAAAAGTGTGGGCTTGTAGCAAGTATCTGATAGTGCAGTGGCCACTTGGGGGTGGTGACTATAGTCACAATGACACCATAAACACAATTATGATATTGGGTGCTAAACGAAATAATCAGATTCCTTATCATCTTCGTCTTCCCAAAGGCCAGCTTGTTAGATTATGCCCAAGGCTAGTTGCTCTGTTACATTCCCTTAGCGTGTCATGACAGCAAGATTGGTGTGGAAGAGGTATGCCATCTGACCTGAAAATTGTTTCATGTGATTCTGAGAGAATTATAGCTTCACATGCAGAGTGAAGATATAAATGCAGAGAAATCCTGCCCGCTCCTCATGCAATATCTACCTTTGGTAAAATCATGCATAGTGATTGTGTAACATCACAACCAAGAATTAACATGAAGTCAATATACTGTTTGCATCACTTTTAAATTTATGATTCATGTTTCAAAGGTGTGACTAATTCCAATCATTTTTTACAAGGACCGCTGTGTATGCAGAGACATTATTGGTAATTAGAAGTGAAGAGAACTTTTATTCATAATAATATCATATTTTCTTTGCCAAATATCATTGGGCATTTTATGTTTGAATATCAAGGTGGCAGGAGAAAGATATCTTGAAAATAAATCAAGAAGACAAAGAAAAGTACATGTAGTATGATCACATACGAGATTGCACTCACAATACAAATTGAGTTTATTGTTGATAGCTCCCTACAGTACTCATCTTTGTAGCAATATGTATGGATATAAAATATCCAACTGCAAGTGTGTTGGCAATTTAGTCAACCCTTTCTTTTATGCTAGGGTGATTAAATTCTGAAGGACAGAATGGAGATAAAGGGATATGAAGGCTATCCTCTGCATTTTGAGCCTGGAAGAAGCTAAATTCCCTGAATCTCTGAAGTTATATCACTATTTGTCCTCAAAGGTCATAGCATACAGCTATTCAAAAGGACATAAGGACCAAAATTCAGGAGATTAAGCAAGGATAAATAGAAGATATGAATAGAAGTGGACACAGCATAGAAACGGCCCAAAGAACAAGCAAGAAGGCAGCTCCGCTTTCTTTAGAGCATTTAGAATTTCAAGGCGCAGGGTAAGTTGCTAGGAATAAGAAGATCTGGGATGAAATCACAGCTTTGCCATTAACCACCAGTGTGTCGATTAAGTAGCTATTTATTTTCTCTCCAAAAAGGTTATTATTTTTAATAAACAATAATAGTAATGTTAACTTGTAATCATCCAATAATCATTGTTCCCAAAGGTAAAATTAGAAGTACAGACATTTAATCAGATGGCATAAATATAAAGAAATGATTCCTGAAGTGATGCAAACAATAGAATTTAAAAATCAGTTCAGAAGTCCATGAAAACGACTTAAACACAGTAGTGTCAGGAGGACTTTACACGAGGCAGCGTGTCATCGCAGCCTCTGGTACATTTATTTGCTTCTTCTCCCCAGTGAGGACAAAAATTGATCACATTGTTAAATGAATGGTCAATTTTCACTCTTCATCTTACTTGACTAAATTGGCCCTATTTATCACAGTTAATCAGTTCTTCTTACTTTCTATACCTTCACCTGGATGCCAGAACAATGTATTTCTTGATTTTTCTCCTACTTCACTCTTTCTCTCCTCCTCCTTTGTTGATTCTCACTTATCTCCCCAGAACTGGCAGATGAGGACGTCTCTGGGGCTCAGTGCTCAAAGTGCATTCTTTTCTATACGCAGACCCTCTTTCGGGAATCTCATCCAATTTCACAGATTCCCGCTGTTGGGTTTTATGGAATGGGCTTAGACTCATATTGACCTTATGTATAACAGAATATATACTACCTGGTCCTGTGCCACCCTCTCAATTGCTATTTTTGAGCCTTTTGTAGCCAGTAAGTCAGTCCATTTTGTTGAGAATCTTCCTGCTTTTCACTGACCTTCTACCCAGGATAATATCCTTTTCCACAGACTGCTCTTTACTGATAACATGTCTGACTGATGTGAGATACACATGATGTTGCCATGTTAAAGTCCACTATTGTAGTTCACAGATTAGAATTCGTAACGTGGAAAATTCTGAATTCATATCTCCAACATAGATACTGTCCCTGAACTCATACAACCAAAGACTCACCGCATATCAGCATCTGAATGTCTACTAGACTTCTGCTATTAAGCTTGGCCCCCAAACTAGATAAACTAGATTCTGATCATCCTCATTTCCCCTCCGTTCTTCACCCCGCAGATTCTGCGAGGTTCTTTTTTTTTTTTTCTGGTCATTAGGAAATTTTTTTTTTTAACAATCATTTTATTGGGAGCTCTTATAGCTCTTATATAACAACTCATACATCAACTGTATCAAGCATATTTGTACACATGTTGCCATCACTATTTTATAAACATTTAGTTTCTATTTAAGCCCTTGTTATCAGCTCCTCATTCCCCTCCACCCTCCCCTTCATTTGATTTCTTTTTTTAAAAATTGTTTTATTAGGGCTCATACAGCTCTTATCACAATCCATACATATATCAATTGTGTAAAGCACATTTGTACATTCATTGCTCTGCGGGGTTCTTAACCCCGATATCAATAAATGAACACTGCCCTCCATATTGGTCAGGTCAAAAGGCTTTTAAAACTTTTGGAGTTTTCTTAGATATATCACATCCCATCTGCCAGCAAATCCTATACTACTCTGACTATCTCTACTTCCAAAGTATGTCCAGCCTCCCATTACTTTTCATTATCTGTACCATCACTTTTCCTGAATTAATCATCAGCCA